AGCTCGCGCGAAATCCGTATTATAATACAACGTTCACGTCCGACATTTTGCTCAAAATGAATTGTCATAACTATTGCCAACATTGGTATTTTAAGCACTAGATTTAGTGGTTTTTGAAAATTAAAACTCAAAAAAAAAATAATAATTTAGTTGAAACAAAATAATTTGCAATATGTAAAGCTGCGGCAGCACTGAATTTACAGGAATCTACAAATGTAAATGTATTAAAATGCAACCATGATTGATAAAAATTTAAAGTCGCAAACTCAAGTTCTTGTTGAATTGTATTCGTGTTGAGGTAAGTGAACTATTGCTTTTTTCCTTTTCTTATTATTTGTACATATTTTGATTGTTTGAAGAGTTCCGCCAGTTTTGACTGTTTCTTTGACCACCTAAGTAAAACACATCGTATCTTGTAGAATATTTTGGTGTTGAATCCAAATCTGGCAGAAGTGGGCTTAAACGTAGAATTTTGAGATTACCTAATTCCAGAGTGTCAAAAACTCATTTTTTTGGCGATATTTGAGGTTATATTATGAAAACCACATTTTTTTTTTAATTTCTACTTAGAGCATCATATACGTAGTATTAAAATTTATTTTCGTTTCGATTCGATCTTACTTTCCCGAGATATGCCAGTTTTAATATGCAGTACTTCGGTATACTACATAAGCATGATTCATCATAGCATGTCAAGCTATAATCAACTTAAGTCATCGTTTTTATTACTTAAACATTTTGTAAATTATAAGAACATTGAACATTAACCTATGTATACAGTGTTTTAAGCTAGTAGTCAAAGTTCAACAGGGGCATATTATATTTCAAAAAAAGTAATTATAACTGCCGGCTGCACTGAACAATTGCTCACTTGTAACAAGGGATGGAATTTCAAAATTTCAAAATGTGCCAAATGGTCTTCGAAAATAGTGCCGAAAACAAGATGAAAGTGCCACAAAATTTAAATTTTTAAGTCGTTTTAAGAACAATATTTTTTTAGAAATAATATTTTTAAAATACACCGAAGTAATATAATAACTATAAATTAGCTAAATTATTACAGTAAATCACTTTTATGAAGGATTCTTTAGACATATACATAAATTCATAGTAAAACTACACAGAATTCTAATTACGGAGGGGAAATACACCGAAATATAGGTATTATGACATTTTTACACACATATATGCATGATTCACGGTGGAGAGAATACAGAGGTGGCGCCGATGACGATACCGCTACTCGGCTCTCAGTGATTTTGACAGAATCAGCTGTTTTGGTGACGTCATAGTAGAGAAGACAGCAGTAGTGATGTGCTCAGTCAATACTTTCAAGTATTGATCGATATTCGGTAACGATTTAAAATGTATCCAATACTCTCGATACTCGGTACCAAAACATTTAGATTTCAAATAAAAGCGCACACAGGCCAAAGATATGGAAAAAAACGGCTCAGGGGAGTCTCGCCAATAGAGCCAATAGAGCTTTTAATACTGATTCAAATGGAAGATGTATATATGTCGGTTCCAGGCCATAACGCAGGGAAACTCTCACTTGTTTGAAGCATTTTTGTTCCAGCTGAATCGGACGATATCATTTTTGGAGGCCTAGGGGCAGATTTGTTGACGTATGATATGAAGTATTGTTACACCAACAAGTACGATATCGATACGAAACTTGTCGCTAACTGGTTAGATCTCCCCCCTGAAAAGCTTCTTCATCCGTCAAAACATTTTTCTTGAACCTTGGATCGACTAAGGTTAAAACTGATAAAATATTATTTTTCTGTGGCGATAAGTGTTTTAGCCGATATCATATAAATTAGTAATGAAAGTTTTTTCTAAACCTGAAATGCATATAATGGCGAGGGTTTAATGTAAATAATCGGTATCGGATACCGAAAAGGAAATATAGGGTACCGAAATCTTTTTTAAGTATTGGGTACCGAGTATTGGGGTCAATTCAGCACATCACTAGTCGCCCTCATTCTCGCCGCTCTCAGTTGTTAACTCTACGATGACGTCACGCTAAAATTACTCTCACGAATTCTGCTGCAATCGGCGCAATCTTGTATTCTATCCAAGGCGTATTTAACAAGGTGGTGTTGGCCGTATATAAGTAAAAAATTACTTTAACAAATTATACGCTGATGTCCATACTGTCATTGGTATGAGTTACAACAAACACATCATTTTGACGTAATGGCCTCCACGGCGAAAACCTCAGCTGTCGCCCCAACACCACCTTGTTTAATACACCTTGATTCTATCCATGATTCAATAATACAAGGTTCGATAAACTGACAGTTGTCTCTCTCGCACCGCTCCCTTAGCAGTGGCAACGTGTTGCTTCTTTGCAAATTTACATGGAAACAGTGTAGCTTTGGTGTCAAATTAAAGTATAAGCTTTTGTGCAATATGTTTATTTGTACATGCATATGAAGCATATTTAACTGATGAAAACCTAAGCATTGGATGTTTACATCAATCTCATAGTGGTCTTATTTTAATTTTGAGTGATTTTGCAGTTTTTATGCGGCTAAATAGCATATAAATCATATATGTAATACTTCTATATTGGCAGTAAGCTAACTTCTCAATGTGTAAGCATTCCGAAATCAAAGCGAGACAGTCTAGTACCGTTTTAATCAATATATTGTGTACTTGAGTGCCGTTTTTGTATATGTGTTGTGTACATGTTTATTTATAAACGTATGTGTTCCTTTTCTTTCGTACGTGTTTATTGATATATCTGTACTGTAGTGTTTTCGGACGGTACTAGCTCTTACTGCCAATATAGGAGTATTACATATATTATATAAATTACGTAATTCACGTAGATATATCAATATTACGTTCAACATTTCGTTTAAAATGCCAGATTTCCTGCAAAAAACATTAGAATTTATGAAAGGAATTTCACTACTAATTGCCTACTTTGCGTACTTTTCTACTACCATTTTCGAAACAAGGGATTGCATTCTTGCCCTTTCTCTGTCCTTCGTAAATGCAACCTTTTGTAAGGGAGTGTCAAACCGCAGCTGTCAATAATTATCTAACCTTGTATTATTGAATCATGGGTTTGTATTAGCCATGGGCAGTGTTGCCGTGCCGTCTCAAGAAAATGTATCACTGACCAAGCCAAAAATGTATCCAAATGTATCCAATTTTCTTTTTTTACATATACATCTCATAATTTGTAAGAAAACCAAACATTTTCATGAAAAAGACATAATTTAAATAATCCATACTAAGGACTTGGAATACATGTACATAAAATCAAACATTTGTAATTTCAATTTATAAAGTACATTTTTTGTGCATAAGTATTTTGCAAAGCAAGTATAATAAATAGCAAGTACACTCTAAAAAGAGCATTTATAACTACTACTGAAAAGTATCTATTTTTCAACAAGAATCTGTATACGTATGAGATGTTCAGTATTTGATTTTGAGCTTGAGATCTTTAAAATATACACATAAATACACATATATAGAATGTTTAAAATTGCAAAAATTTTAAAACTACAAATACATTTGCTACTAATAATAAACATTACTTTATTTTAAACATTTTATGTGTAATTTTGCTCTTTGCGAAAAATTTGGTATGTAAAAGTAAACAGGCAATGATTAATTTTATTACACGGCGTGCAAATTTGCACACATTAAAAGAAGAAACTGGTTACCTCTCTTAATATGCGCAAATAAACAAAATTTTTTTAGAGTTTATTTAAAGTATTTTCAGTAAAATTCATACAAGTTTCCTTAAATAAATCAAATTTAATTTTTTAAACTTCATTGACATCTTTCTTTTTAAATTAACAAATGAAAATATGTGATATGAAAGAGGTTACTACAGAAATAGTATAATTTACTTTATATGTATCGTCGTTTAAAGTACAAAACCGTGTATCGTCAAAACCGCGTAACTGACATTTGCTACCAAAAATTGGATTTGCTCACACAAGCTCTTGGCTCAATCCTGATCCAGTCGTCCTGAAATATACTAGCCAGGAAAGCGATTGCTCTATAAAAAAGGGAACCATTTTAAAACATAAGTGTTTTTGCTCTTTAAAAAATAATTTATGCAACATCACATACGCGGTTTTGCATTATCTTGATACGCGGTTTTGCATTTTGTTAATACGCGGTTTTGTACTTTAAACGACGATATGTACCTATATTAAGATCTTGCTTAAGCATCCTTTTAATCTAATTAACACAATTGCGCTTATACCTATTTTGGTGAGATCTCTTCATATGTTCATTGCTTCGTTCACAAAAAATAAAATGCTTTAATTTCACGCTTAAGTAGCGATTCTTAATACGTTTAGAAAACGTAATGCTTTCTACCATCTTTACTGAAAATCGATTTTTGAACGAAAAAAACTTTATAGGAAATATAAATTTTTGGCCTATTTAAAAAAGTATCCACATTTATACTGACCGGAAAAAATAAGTATCCCGCAAAAATTCGTCTAAAAATGTATCCAGTTGGATCTATTTAGATGCAAACCGCATCCCTGGCCATGGGTAATAGCGCAATTTTTTTGGCGCTAGCTCAATAACGCCAGCGCCACCTGGGGTGTCAGCGTACTAACTCAGCGCTTTAGTGCAGTGTACTGAATTGAACACGGTGCCATCTGAGTGTCACTACAGTACCCATCGTCATATAGTGTAGTACACCATACAGTGGTGTCATGTCTATTATTTCTATAATTTTCGGCACTGAGCAACGCTTGTACCGCCAACCAAATTTAATTGATAGGAATGTAGTAAATGCCACGATAATCTCATCATTCTTGAGTAAAGGCTTTAAATTTGCGTTCTCAACGCTCAAAAGCAAAAACAAAGTATGTACGTGTAAATTTTCAAGGCGAATTGTGTTGCTGCCTCATGTGTTGCTTGGTTTTAATGGCGCTGGCGCTTTCCTTATACTGGTGTTGGCGCGGCAACTCCGGCTACGGTGTTACCGGAATTGCGCCGCGAAGCGCAGTGTTACCCATGCCTAGTTTGTATACGGAATTGAAATTTTTGATGGTTATTTCCTAAACTTTCCAATCTCGTTTAGAACTAAAGTTTATTCTAAGATGGAATAAAGCCGTATAAAGCAGAAAGTATTTTGAGTTGTGTATAGGCACGCAAAGCTAAAAAAATATCACAAGAGCATGAATGATCCTCAGCAACCGGTTCGAAACAGGAGTGAGACGGCTGTTGAAAACTCGGCTTCAGGTAACCTTATTTAACTTTGAAAATTACAAAAGTATAAAACGTATCATAAAGAGTAACTAGCAAGAAATAATTGTCTTGCAAATTCCATTTTTCAGGCAGTGAGATTCACCGTATAGAAGCGAGTCTTCGCCAAGTTAAAACACAATCTGCTAAAATCTCCTACACAAGTAGTCTGAAAACTTCCCGAAAAGAACACACAAAAAAAGATGCTTCCCAACGTCAACAATTGGAGGGCAATTCTACAGATCCTGAATTTAAACAAAATAATGTAACTGATCGCACTCGCGGTGTGTTTGGAAAGAAAAAAGAACGTGAAAAGGAATTCACTGATCTTAAATTGTATTTAAAAGAAATTGCAAATAATAAAATTGTTGATAGTTGCAACGAAAAAGATGCAGATTCTAAAACACTTTCTACAAAAAGTGCAAAGGTAAGGCGTCCCACATTTCGTAGATGTAAAACGGAAATTCTAGGGACCAAACCTGGATCACAAACAGAACGCCATTTAAAAACGGGAATATGTGTTAAACCAAGATCAAAATCAAGCCAACCATCAGAAACAAAATCGCATGAATTATTGACCCCCGGCAGGACGAAACGCAAGTCCTATAACGTCGAGGCTGCCCGTAAGTTTATAGATGATCGGAGGCTTAGAAGACGCTCACAAGCTGCTTCTTCAATAAAGTTTAACAATGAAAAAAACGCATTTGAAAAAGAGCAAATTAAAAAACGACTCGAAGATTTGCATAAGAACTCAAGAGCAATCATTGCTAAAAATGTTAAAAGAAAGAAACTACCTCTTGGTAACAAAAATATAATCAAAAGTAACCAAAAATCTGCTACAGATCCTTGCAGATCAAATGAAAATAAATGCGATCGAATTTTAATTCACGCAAATGTTAAAATGGCAAACGAATATAAAGAAACTTCAAAAAACTTTGCTTGTGATGATGATCCATCAACAAAAGATAAAACAGTAAACCTTGGAGTAAGTAATTTTGAAATATAATCGTATCTTAGACTCAATGTACGTAATTTCATTACATCGGAAATTTGCAAACACCCTATTGGATTTTAAAAATATTTACATACCGCTCATTTACTAAAAGGACAAAAAAACACAGGGATCGAAAATAATAGTTATTTTCAAAATTTCAATTCAAAAAGTCAGTCGGAAAGAATTGGTCTTTTCATTTGTATATAGCAATGTGATGCTTGTTAGCCAAGGAATGTTAATCCTATATGATTTAATTAT